TATACTTTGAGCACTTGGCCAGGAAGGACCTGCCCTTGGAGAAGGACATCATACTCAGAAGGGTGGAGTGGCAGCGCAGGAGAGGAAGACTGGATGAGATGGACTGACACAGTAACTGGGACGATGGGGGTAGGTGTGTTGGAGTCAGTGAGACTGGCTCAGGACAGGGCAGGCTTCAGAGGTGTTTTATATAGGGTCACTATGAGTCGCAGGCAACTCAATGGCACATTAACAACAAGAAGTATATTAATATAAAGGATCCTAGCATCTCACAATAAAAAGAAAACCATTTTACCCCATTTAAATCTGCATTTTTTTAAAATTTACTTTTTATGATTATTTTAATGAAAATCTACAGAGGCCCTGGACCTCCATTCACCCATCACTGCACTCCTCTCCCTGCCCACCCCTCCCCTAAATCTGCATTCTTAAAACACTGACTACAAACCTCTCTCCGGAACAGCCCTGGCAAGGATTACTATGAATACAATTCAGGACACACTGCCTTACAACAGTGCCTAATGTTCACGCAGCTTTTATGTTTAATATGTTTGAAATAAAGTTTTTTTTATCCGTTATCTCATCGGATCCTTGTAGCCTCCCACCAAGATAGGAAATCCTGACAAAAGCTCTGTGAAAAGGCACTGCTTTATCTGGTGAACAACTGAGGGAATAGGCTCAGGGAGGGAGCAAAGGACCAGAGATGTGTCCTGAGGCAGACAGGAGGGGACAGGCTCAGGGAGGGAGCAAAGGGCCAAAGTTGTGCCCTGAGGCAGACAGCTGACAAGTGGCCCAGCTGGGATTCAAGCCTTTCCCTATATGACCACTCAGACACCCGAGGGCTGAAACCATTGCCATTTAAGACCTGAGCATCACAGTCAACCCCTGCTCAGATTGGAGGAGTGATTCTGTGGGTGGGGCACTGTTGACTTAACAGCAGCTGAGAGGGTGGAGAGACCCAGATGTGGGACAGGGCTCCAGGGCCTCAGTCCTGCTGAGTCAGAGGTGCTGGAAGGAGGGATAAGGATGTGAGAGACAGGATGCTACGAGCGTCAGGCCAGACCAGACCAGGCTGGGTTTCGGGCCTGGCAGAGAGCACAGTCTGGCAGGTTTTATTGTTTGGACCAGTTCCTCTCCAGAGGGAGGAAAATGAGGACTCCAAGCCTCTTCTGTTACTCTTTAACCCATTCCTGATCCCCTAAATCTAACCCTTAAGATAATCATATGCTCTTTAGTGTGGGTGCTTGAGAATTCACCAGGGTTGAAATGAGGCCCTTGATGCCAATCATTTTTACTCCAAATTATTATTTTAAAAAACCTACTCAGGGAGCTCTGGTGGCCTAGTGGCAAGAAGCTACACTGCTATCCCTGAGGTATGTGGTTCGAATCCACCAGATGCTCTGCTGGAGGAGAGACAATCTCCTCCTGTACCAATCAGATCCAATATGACGGCTCAACTACCCTCCAGCAAGTTTTCTGAGTTTCACTCCAAATATTTTTTTAAACACACCTACTCGGTGTTGAGTTGACTCAGCTCCCCTCCAGCACATTTTACAAGGCTGTAAATCGCCCAGAAGAGATTGCTTCTCTTTCCCCAGCACAGCAGCTGGTGAATTCGAACTAAAGAGAAGCACCCCCTTTAGGCTACACTTGCTAGGCCAGCAGAGCTCATTGAAGGAGTATTTAAAAGAGGAAACCCAGTACTGTCAACAGGGCACAGCTGAACTCGCACCACAGGGCTTCCAAGGTATCTTCTCAAGGGAAGCCGACTACGCAGCTTTCTCAGCCACCTCTCAGCTGCCAAGTGCTCAAGCCCTGTGCCACCAAGGCCCTTCCCATTTGCTCTTCCTAAAGCCAGCAGGCCCAGTGCTTAGGGCTTTCTAGGTGTCATCTCTTTTCATTCCTGCAGCAATCCTGTGAGATAAGATACCACAGTCATCCTATCCCTGCCCAGAGGAGAACACAATCATCAAGGTCCTATGACTTGCCCAAGATCAAACACCTGGGGGCTGATCCGGGTTCAAGTAAATGGGCTTCTGAATTTAGCTTCCAGTGGTTCCTCTAACCCAGGTGACCCAACCGCTAGCAAAACACTTCAATTCTTTTAATCCCTAAACCGGACTAGGAGGCAAGCTGATTAGCCACACTAGGGCCAGACTTCAGAACAAAATCAAAGTCCTTTAGGGACCTGCTGGAGCTGCAGTCCCTTTCTGACCTCAGTTTCTCCATCTGTAAAACAGAGCAGCTGTTTTTCTATCGCCTGACATCCCCCCCCCCTTTTCCCTCTCAGTCGCACCAGGCTTGTGAACCTCACGGCCTCACTCACCACGTACTTGGAGGGTGGGTCCTTGACCACGCTGGCGCTGGTCACCTCGAAAAGCAGCCGCTGGGGGACTAGGGTGTTCCGAGACTTCTTCCAGAAATCCTGCAGCTGGCGGGTCAGGAGCTGACTGCCCCGCGGCCCATCTGGCGGGGGGCTTCGGTCTGTTAAATCACACGCGTTACTGTTACTGGTCAAGTGTCCACGCCTCGGGCCATGACTGCTAAGAGTCACTTGCCAGGAACTCATCATTTCTCCCAACCTATGGCCCCATTTTACAGGAATGGAAACTGAGGGCCAGGGGCTAAGTTCTCTCGAACTAAATTGTCGTTGTTAGGTGCCAGCGAGTCGATTACAACTCATGGGGACCCTAAGACTCGCATCCCAAAGCATCGCCAGCACTGATGTTCCTGTGCGTGTCTGAGTTTAATGTCCGCTGTGGCCAGTCCCGAGATGGGCGCGCGTTTCCCTTCTTGGTGCAGGGGGGAAACTTGGCTCAGAGAAGTGACTCCCTCAAGGTCACACAGCCAGGGGGTGCCTGGGCCCCTTGAAGTGTCAAGTGTCAAGAGCGCTGAGCACCCGCAGATGCTCTCGGGGACACGGGAGGCCTAACCGAACCCCAGGACCAGCCCGGCCCCCCGCACTCGCCTGCGTCTTCTCCCGACGCCGCGTCCCCGGGAGCCAGGGGGTCGGGGCCAGCCTCCTCCTCCTCGTCGTCGTCGTTGTCGTTGTCCTCATCCTCGGCGCTGGTGAAGCTCAGGGTGCCGCTAAGGCGGGAGGACAGGCCCTCGGCGTCGTCGTCCTCCAGCTCCGAGCTCTCCGGGAACTGCTCGGCCTCCGGCCCGGCCGCCGCCTCCCCGGGGCCGCCCAGGACGTGCCGCAGCCGGTG